ATTTTTTTTAGAAGTTTTCAAATTTTGACCCGGCCGGGTTATGAAAACCAATTAATTAATTTTGCATGGCCTAATATGGTAAATATACTTCATGTAGAAATTACAAAGCGGTTAATTCATTCACGAATATTTAGGTATTGAACACAAAGGATAAAGCTATTAACCATATTACTTTATTAATTCAAAATTTTGAAGATAACAGTCATAAATATGCAAATTTAAATAAATAAGTTCACTATACCAACATTCTAATTCTATACTTGAAATATCACTTTTTTTCTTGCTGATCTTTTTCAGCATTGTCAGTTGTACCAATCATGCTACTAACAGCGGCACCTACATCACTAATAACGCCTCCAGCAATTTCTTCAACATTGCTAACAGCTCCACCAACAACCTTACCTGTATCTCTTATACTCCTTCCAATACCTTCAATTCCATATTTGAATCCTGATCTACTTCTAGCTATAATACCCTCATCAATTGTGTATTTTGGCAATTTTAATTCACCACTAGGATCAAATAATGAACTATCAGTCTCATCATTGGTTGATAAAAATTCATCCAAAGCGGGTAATGTATCTTCCATTGTCAATTTTACTAAATATTTCTCTCTTTCTGTTGCTAATCGAACAGTACGTGGAATATCAGGTATTATATATGCAATAAATAGTTGTATCAAAAAAAATACATGCTATAAAGAAGATAATAAATGATTAGTTAATATTGATAGAATATATAACTGTTGAGCATAAAGTGATAACTTTAGAAATGACATTTGGTATTTATCAAAAAAAATCTTTTTTATACCTCAAAAATCATTATGAAAGTCAACCTGGCAACCAATAATTCAAATTCATCATTAGGGTTGCTAATAATGTTTTGAAGATAGTGTTTCATCCATGTAGAATGAAATGCAATAATTATGGCATTTGTTAATACTGCCATAAAAGCTATAATGTTTAAAATATTTTCCCACATTCCAATATCTTGGGTTAAGAAGCCTACTGGTCTTTGTGTTTCTACAATATACTGATGAATTGTTGAAATAAAAAGAAATAGGTAAGAAATAAGATTGAAGTAATTGTTGTTTTTAGTTAAAAATGATCTTACTTTAAAAGCGTCAGATCTAATCTCAGTAATGTTATTTAACCAAGCAAACAAAGGGGCTAACGGAAAAGCGGGTCCAAATAATGAAATAAATCCAAATTGAATGACTATTACCGGGGCAAATAAATTAGTGATATTTGTAAAATAATAATTTACAAATATATATTAATTTTATGTCATAAACCATTAAATACAAACCCATTTCTTCATATTCAATTATAGTACCAGCGGAAGATGATAATCGATCATCATGAACCCACTGAGGTACCTCAGTATTTTTCCTACCAGAACGCTTATATTTGGCTTTTAATGTTTCTATTTCATTTATAATTACCGTTCTGTTAAATTTACCCATGATCCACCTATGGAATTAAAATAGAGTGAGCTTGAAGTATAACTAAGCAATTGCATTTATTAAATACGTACGGTAGAAGTATTTCTTGAAACTGCCCATAGATTTGTCTGCCAATTAATATAATTGCTAATTGAATTGTAAGTTCTAGCATACAATTTTGATAATCACACCCGATGTTTGTTTGTTTCACGATTTCACCTGCGTACTTTTTTTTGTTTTTTTATAAAAGTTAATTAAATTCATAAATACTTTTAGTTTAGAATAAAGAAATGAGAATAGAGAACAAATTACCCGTTCTTTAAAAATCATTATATAAAATAATGTAGAATAAAAATTGAAAAAATCAAAAAGGTAAGACTTTAAGATTAAGGAATCTAATTTATATAACAAAAAAAAAGTCAATAAATTTAAGTAACAAATAGCATTATGATAAGAAAAAATTTTATACCTTCAAATTGTGTTGGAGTCTTATGGTTCTCAAAGTTTGTTAGCCAAAATGCAATTTTACTGTATATCTAATCAGAGTCATTAGTATAAATTTTCATGTACAAGACGTTATGTATAAATAACAAACATACAAAATTCAAGATCAATATAGTCATCAAATTCACACAAGCTGCTAAAACTGAAGTCCAAATTCCAACTTCATTCCACAACTGTGGGAAAAGTATTAGGACGCCTATTGTTATTACGGTGATGCCTAGCTGTATAAGAAATGATAATTATTAGTTTGCCAACAACAACACTTTCCTAGACTGATTACATCTATCTTTCTAACTTTTATATATTCCCAAAAAGAAAAAACT